ATTCGTGTGACAGGTCCTGTTTCTCTAGGATATATTCCAAGGAGCAGGATAGCTGGATCATATGGTACCTCTATTTTTAGCTTTTAAAGGAAGCGCCAAATTGATTTCCTAAGTGGTTGTACCATTTTACATTCCCATCAACAGTGTATAAGTGTTCCAGTCTCTCCACAACCTCTGCAGCATTTATTATTTTGTGTTTTTTGGATTGATGCTAGCCTTGTTGGGGTGAGATGATATCTCATCGTAGTTTTGATCTCCATTTCTCTAATGGCTAAGGATCATGAGCATTTCTTCATGTGTTGGTTAGCCGTCTGAATATCTTCTTTGGTGAAGTGCCTGTTCATATATTTTGCCCATTTTTTAATTGGGTTATTTGTCTTTTTGTTGTTGAGGTTTTGCAGTAGAGATTAGACGCTGATCGGATTTGTAGTAGCCAAAATTTTTTTCCCAGTCTGTAGGTTGTCTTTTTACTCTTTTGGTGAAGTCTTTTGATGAGCGTGTTTGATTTTTAGGAGCTCCCATTTACCTCGTCTCTCTTCTGGTGCTTGTGCACTGTTACTTATGGTTCGTATTGTGTTTATGCCATGTATCAGGGCTCCTAGTGTTGTCCCTATTTTTTCTTCCATGATCTTTATCGTTTTCCATTTTATATTTAAGTCTTTGATCCATTTTGGGTTAGTTTTCAAACGTGGTGTGAGGTATGGGTTTTGTTTCAGTTTTTTGCATATAGGTATCCAGTTATACCAGCACCATTTGTTAAAGAGACTGTCTTTTCCCCAATTAATGGACTTTGAGCCTTTGTCAAATATTAGCTGCTCATAGGTGGATGAGCTTATATCTGGATTCTCAACTCTGTTCCAATGGTCTATGTATCTGTTGTTGTACCAGTACCAGGCTGTCTTGACTTCCGTGGCAGTATAATAGGTCCTAAAATCAGATAGTGTAAGGCCTCCCACTTTGTTCTTCTGCTTGAGTAATGCTTTATTTATTTGGGGCCTCTTCCCTTTCCATATGAAGTTGGTGATTTGTTTCTCCATCTCTTTAAAAAATGCTGGTGGAATCTGGATCGGGATTGCATTGTACCTGTAGATTGTTTTGGGTAGAATTGACATTTTCACTATGTTGCGTCTGCCTATCCACGAGCAAGGTATATTTTTCCACTTATGTAGGTCTTTTTTGGTTTCTTGCAGTAGTGTCTCGTAGTTTTCTCTGTATAGATCTTTTACTTCTCTGGTTAGATTTATTTCTAAGTATTTTATTTTCTTGGGGGCTATTGTAAATGGTATTGATTTGGTGATTTCCTCTTCAAGGTTCTCTTTGTCGGTGTAAAGGAATCCAATTGATTTTTGGATGTTTATCTTGTATCCTGAAACTTTGCTGAAATCTTCTATTAGTTCCAGTAGTTTTCTCGTGGATTCTTTGGGGGTTTTCTGTGTATAAGATCATATCATCTTTGACTTCTTCCCTACCTGTTTGGATGCCCTTTATTTCTTTTTCTAGCCTAAGTGCTCTGGCTAGGACCGCCAGCACAATGTTGAATAATAGTGGTGATAGAGGGCATCCTTGTCTGGCTAAATAATGTATTTAAAAATCGTTGAAAAAATGACTGGAACAAAGAAAGACTAAACAAAAAGTCATTTTTCAAAACAGGATGCATCTGGATTAGCGATTATTACAACAGAGAAAATGAGCAGGGGTAAAAAGAGCACTGTTAATATCACGTATCCCTCTTTTCTCTCTAATGTTCTGCACGATGCTATCAGATTAATCCTTATAAAACACTGAGTTGATCATGTAACATCTATATAAAAATACTTCACTTACCGCATCAAATTCAA